GGAGTTGCAAGCTTAATTCTACTGCCAGGAGCATGGGCTTTTGATTCCAACACATCTATCTATATCTGAATCCTGGTTCTGCTACTTATTAGCTTTTTTTTCATTTCAGCACTTTGGGTCTCATTTCCTTTATGAGATAAAAAACGCTGACATGGCAAGAGTGTTGTCAGAAATAATAACAAAATGGAACTCCTTCTCTGTGGGTGTTGGGCATTTCACATGCTTCACCCTATGGTGGGATCTTCGTAACAATCTTTTGAGTTAATGCCATCATTCTCTGCATTTCGTAGTTGAAAGAATGGCCATCTATGCTGAAGAGATAATCGAGGAAGTTAGGTAACATGCCCCAAATTCACAACTAGGAATAGCAGAGTTGGGATGTAAACCCAGGTCTCTTCTCTCTCCAAAGCTTGGCATATAACCCACATGCTGCCTTGCCTGCCCAGTACATTGAGTGAGATAATAAATATAAAGTCTTTAGCACATTGTGGGGGCACTTAAGCACAATTTCCATCAGGTGCTCAGGTGTCTCCCCATCATGTTGCACAGCCACGAGGATGAGCAGCTGCTTCACTCCCCTTCCTAGATTTCCCCAGTTGGCAAAGGGCCACCACATGGTGAAATGCAGGAGGGCCGGGAGGGATGGGAGAGATGTTGCATTATTCCTCTCCAATTCTACTTGTCTAATGGACTTGTTAAAAGCACCCTAGGTGGAAAGTGTGAGTCTTAATGGCATTTTATAAAAGTTGCTGTGATGAATTAGCACATAAAGCAAATTAAAAACAGCTTATCGCTTTTTAAATTAGGTGATGGGGCACTGTAGCATTTCTCCCAGACACGAAGATCCATTAATATCCAAAGGAGTCAGAAGCTGCCGAAATGTATCAGCTGTTTGTTTTCAGGGACCTGGCAAGTCCGAAATCAGTGTAATCCTCGAGGGGCAGATTGTCCAAGATAAATAGAACTGGGGAGGCGCATGTTGCTGAGCTCCTTCTGTGGGGACACCTATTGCTGAAGGCAGGAGGGGGACACCTTCCTTCAGGGATTCTTGGGAATAGAACAGAGCACAGTAGATTGAATGTCTGGCCTGATGGGGACCGCCAGGAGCAAGCAGTGTCTCCTCCCCTCCCTTACACATGGGGACACAGGCTTGAGAGAAGCAGGGCTTTCAAAGTTCATCTGAAACATTTCCACAGACCTGTAGTGAGGATCTAGTTTGTGCCCAGTGCTGTACTGGACTCGGAAGATAGAGTGGGACTGTAGATATCTTTATACACAGTCCACAAGATGCCTACTAAGTGGCACAGTGGGGACCCAGATCTCCGGATTCAAGGCCAGCACATTTTTCAGAAAAACAATAATAGTAATAGTAGCTGCCATTTATTGAGCCCAGCCTGTGTCAAGCTGGTGTCCCAGTACTTTCCATATATTATTTCATTTAATCCTCTCCACAATGCTTTGAAGTAGGTGGTGTTACCATAGGCCACTTTTACAATTATGAAAACCTGACACCCGGAGAAGCTAAGTAACTTGCTTAAGATCACATGGTTAAAAAGTTGCAAACCCAGGCAGTCCGACCCTAGAGCCTGCCTTCTTGGCAACCACCTGCCAGCTTCCTGATGGCTTTTCTCCCTCTGCTCCCCACACTTTACATCCAGAAGGAGCCTGGTGCTAAACCACAGGTTCAAAGACTTTTAGGATAAAAAACACTGAGACAAGAACTGAGCAGTAACGGAGCTTTGGGGATTTGGGGGCAGGGGGTAGGGGAGGGTGGTCAACCTTGAAGGGAGATGAAGAGTTCCTGGCACTGCTAAATTGTGAGCACGACCAGAGGACAAGCAGGCTGGGAAACTGAGCTTACGATGATATGTCCAAGAATGTGGATTTTGGAGCCGGACAGACCGTATTCCCGATGCTGTCTCCACCACATGCGTACATGTGACCTGGGGCTGGTGCCTTAATGTCCTGAGCTTCCTTCCCTCATCTGTAAAATGAGGATACTAATTTTTACCTTCAGGTTCTTATGATGTCAAATAAGACAACAGATACAAAGTGCCAAGCTACCCAATATGAGCATAAGTAGTGGTAGCTGTCATGGTCATCATCCTTGCCACCTTGTCACCACCTCTCAGACTTGGGGGTGGAGGTGGGGGGTTCTGGTGGGGAACAAAGTGAAGAGCATTGCACTAGGGCTCCAGATCAGAAGACCCACACTCCAGCTTAAGGTTGCTGACCCTTGTATGCTGAGGTTAGTCTATCATCTATAAAAAGGGGATAATAGTATATCCATCATACCTTCTTCGTCAGAATGGATTGAGTCACAAATGAGGTAGTGTATGTGAAAATGATTTGCAGTCTATAGACCTCAAGACAATGCCCAGGGTCGATGATTCACTAGGAGGGCTCACAGGATTCAGCATAGTCATACCCAGGACTGAGTTGTTACAGCAAGAGGATACAAAGCAAAATCAGCAAAAGGAAAGGATTTGGGGACAAAATCCAGAGGAAACTGGGCACACGCTTCCAAGAGCCTTCTCCCAGTGGAGTCATGTGGGACATGCCTAATCTCTCCAGCAACAAATTGTCACACCAGGTGTAAAAGTTTGTCTTCTGGGGAAGCTCATTAAAGACTCAGGGTCCACGGTTTTTACTGGGGGCTGATCATGTAGTCACTGTCTGCCTGGCCCATACCACAATTCCAGACTCACAGAAGAAAAGCAAATGTTCCACTTAAATGTTGTTTGTACAAACAGTTTAGGCATGGTGAGCCATTCTTAATAGGAAATAGTGAGAACCTTCCCAAAATCCAATTTCCCAGATGTCAGCCAAGAGCCATCCTTGTGGGCAGGTTTTTTTAAGGATAGCAATCTCAAGCTTGCTATGTTAACTCTTTTTTGCACAGAGTAGAATCTATAGAACGGATTTTTATGAGTATCCACTCACAAGGGAAAGGTGAGATGATAATGACAGTTCATACCTGATGATTGTCACTATGTGCCAGGCATTGTTGTGCATGCTTTATTCTTACATGTATTACCTTATGTCACATTTCATCCATACAACAACTTCATGATGGGGGTACTGTTATCATTGCTGGTATGTATGAGGAATCTGAGGCCTAAGAAAGGTGAGGTAGCTTGCCTGGATAATGAGCTATATGACTGGAAAGAAGTAGTAGAACCAAGAAAGGACTCTAACAGTATGACCCCAGAGCCCATATCCTTAACCACTATGCTCTAGCTGCTACACTGTACCTACCATGAGCTGGGAGCCTCATATGTCTTATTAATGTTCGCAGCAGCTCCGTGCAAATGTAGTTATTGGAAATTTTGTAATTTTGCATTACAAAAACCTGTGGCTCCGGAGTGCCAGTTCATTTATGTCACAGCACCCAGCCAGAGAAGTGATGGCATCAGAAGTGGGCCTCTGCCCTCTCTCAGCCCCCTGTTGCCTGGGTGGAGCTTTGCCAAAATCTTTGGTAGGGAAGATGCAGGTGGTCAAGGTGGAAGTGAGTCATTCTGGGAGCTTTGACCGAAAAGCTCTCCCCTAATTCCATGACTTAGGCACAGAGTTAGTGGAAGAAGGAGCTGTGTTACAAGTAATTCAAATTTTCCTACAATATTTGAGAGCTCTACAAGCTGTCTTCAGCTCTTTTTGGTTGCCATGACAGCAGATGTGACATTTCTTTCATGAGAGGAAAAAAAATGAAGAAAGGAAAAGAACCATACTTTGGTCCTCAGTGATCTGAGAAAAAATCTGTTCCCCAGATCTATCTAGTTTTGCTTGCATAGTGGTTACACTCCAAGGAAATTGTCAGGATGGAACCAAAGGGGAGTAAGCAGGCAGGTGGCAAAATCTGCTTCTCCTGAGAAGTTGTACGCTGTATGTGTGTGGTGGTGGTTTGTGATTGGGGGAGACAGGAGGAGGCAGGCAATATAAGATTTGACACAAAGTATCAGCTACTTAAGGCAACACCTAGCTACTAAGGTCTTGGTCATCATTCCAGTTCTGTTTGCAATTCCCTCACCCCACCAATTTATACAGGTTACAGTGTGTTTGGCTTAGCAAAGGCTCAGCATGTGTTCTTTAGTAAGAACAACATGGTACATAGAGCAAGAATTACAATTCAGAGTGATGAGTGCGATGCTGAGATAGGCTTAGCATTCTGTGCAAGCAAAAAGATTTGTCTTATTCATATAATCTTGATCTATCTCTAGACACACATGTAAACATGGGTGTAATTATATTTTTTCATTATTGCATTTTGAGCGCTTATTCATGGCATTGGATTAACCTCTGCCACCATTCAATTTATTTTATTTAATTTTTTCTGTTTTTTGTGGTTTTAATTAGCATTTTCTTTTTTAAAAGATTGAATCCCAGTATAATTAACATACAGCATTATATTAGTTTCAGGTGTACAATATAGTGATTGAACTGCAACCATTCAACTTCAGTAATGGTCCAATAGTCCAGGGAGTGGAAGGATCACAGTTCCCGATGGAATGACATTTAAGTTGTTACCATGCTTCCCCATTACAAAGGAAAGAGTTGTATGGACTGATATATCTGAGAGGATTTGTTCATAACACAAAATGCTTCATTCAGAAAGATGCCCATGCTTCTCTTCATGATTTCCTTCTTGTAGTGACTTTTAACATTTGATTATAGTGGGAGGGAAAGAAATCTCAGGTACTAAACTCCCTTAGTCACATCTCCCATTATCACCTCGCCACATAGGATGGTCTCCAAAGAAAGAAGCAGTACCCCCATTTTAGGGGTCTAGAGGCTGCCCCTGCAGCCTCCAAGGAGAAGCAGGAACTAACGTGGATTTGTGACCACAGTAGTGGGAAAGTAGACTGCAATCCTGGGAGTCATTCCTGGAAGCTGGTATCGAATGGATGAAGGATTCTCAGGGCAAGAGTGGGTAATCAAAACAGTGAATTCGAAATCTGTGCTGCAGAGGTTCCTAACGATGTTCTCTCTTGTCATTTCTACAGAGCCATGTTTGACTATGACAAGAGCAAGGACAGTGGGCTGCCAAGTCAAGGACTTAGTTTTAAATATGGAGATATTCTCCATGTTATCAACGCCTCTGATGACGAGTGGTGGCAAGCCAGGAGAGTCACGCTGGAGGGGGACAGTGAGGAGATGGGGGTCATCCCCAGCAAACGGAGGTAAAAATGCCTTTTCTATTTCAGAGTGTTTGCTTTTCAGTGATCTAGGGGGTGGAAATGAGGGAATATAAAGATATGGCAAACTGTTCACAAAATAACCATTTGAGTGGGATAGTCAGCGGGGAAATTGTCAGTGGTGACAGGTGACATGAATTAAGTATTCTCGTTCTTCTCATATTAGGGTTTTACCAAAACTGGTGACTGTGATAAGGCACAAAGAAAGAAAGGGGATCTGCTTACGCCGCCTTCCTAAAACGTTTACCAGCATCCATATGTTCAAGATTATCTTATCAGCACGTATGCTGACTTACACACTCCAGGTTATTCCAGAGGTTGACATTTACCAGATAACTTTACAGAAAGGTCAGGTGAAAGCCCAATAAAGTACAATTTACTAATCAAAGGTCCTACCTATGTATTACGTTCAAATACTGACAGGAGAAAAACTAAAAACCTTCATTCCAAATTCAGATGCTTGGGATATGAGCTGTCAAACATCTGGTGAGGTAAAGACTGAGTTTATAACTGTCTGTTACTGTTTTAGTTACTCCTGTTCCCCAGCCACCCCACAACTCCCACCTTCACTCAATCAGATACTTAGTTCCATATGTGTTTCCTGAGTCAAGACTACGATGCTCTTTCTCTTCTAAACATTTCTTCCACTATGCTTTCAAAAGGCAGGAATATACTTTGGAACAGCCAACCCCCTCATGCGTCCCCAGCAGCTTCTAGTCCTCAGGACCAGGGAGGAACTTTCCTTCCCATGAACCTCTTTTTTGGCACCAAGATATTGTCCATGAAACACATTTGTCTGTACCCCAGGAAAGAGATATGGTTATGAAATTGAAGTCAGGGATAACGTTTATTCAAGGCAGTCACCAACTTTTCTCAAGCTACAGGTTTCTCAAAGGGCTTTTCTCCTGTCCAAACACCCCAACACCTCTGTAAAGAGTCCTCAGTGAAGCTGAGCGCTCTGGTGCCGCAACCCAGCAACTGAGCTAGCACAAACCATAGTAGGAAGATGTCACTTGTACCCAAGAATCACTCTGTGGGGCATTGGCACCCCAAAGAAGACCGGTCCCCCATCCTTCTCTGCATGGGGCCACACAGCCCAGGGAGGAATGTGGGGAGAGGGCAGCAGGCTGACTGTCACACAGATGCTCCCTCATGGTTAGTGGGGAGGAGTGACAAAGAAGCCGCTGCAACTCCAGAGAACCTCCCTGCCCTCCGTGCCCCTGTGTGGGTCTCCCACCAGCACACAGTTCTCTGGGTCTCTTTAAACCTCTGGACTCTGGGACACCTGGGTGGCTCAGTCCATTAAGCATCTGCCTTCAGCTTGGGTCATGATCCCAGGGTCCTGGGATCGAGCCCCGTGTCGGGCTCCCAGCTCGGCGGGGAGTCTGCTCCTCCCTCTGCCTGCTGCTCCCCCTGCTTGTGTACGTTCTCTCTCTCTCTCTCTCTCTCTCTCTCTCTGACAAATAAATAAAATCTTTTAATAAAAAAATACAAAAAATGTAAAAACCTCTGGGCTCCACAATAGTTGCCTCACATTGCTCTGAGAGGACACTGTGAATTTGTACTATGGCTTGTAGGGTTTTCTCAAAGGGTATATATTCAAAGCAGTGACTCTCAGCACTATTTTATATTCTGTTTTTCCATTTCCATTTACTTAAAAGTAAAAGAGTCAAGGCAATGTGCATTTTGGTTTGCTTCAATTTAATTCGTCAGAGCTGTCTGAGCCACTGCTCTATAGAAGAAAGAGCTATCTTATTGAATATGGCCCCAAGGATAGAAGTGGAGTGGAGGAAGCTATGTGGGAATAGATTTCAGCTCATTTTACTTTTTTTTTTAAAGATTTTATTTATTTATTTGACAGAGAGAGACAGCGAGACGGGGATCACAGGCAGGGGGAGTGGGAGAGGGAGAAGCAAGCTCCCTGCAGAGCAGGGAGCCTGATGCAGGGCTCTATCCCAGGACCCTGAGATCATGACCTGAGCCGAAGGCAGACGCTTAACGGACTTGAGCCACCCAGGTGCCCTGATTTCAGCTCATTTTAAAGAAATTCTTTTACTAGTTGGAGCTGTGTAGAGATGGTATGGATTATGTGGGAAGATAGTAAACCAGAAAAGTGGTTTTCATAGCAAGGGAACATTATAAAAGCTTAGATGTGCCTGCTCCCTCCCTCTCTGACCCTCTCCTCTGTGTGTGCATGCATGTGTATGTGTGTTTGTATGTATGTACGTGTGCACGCGCATGCAGATGCATGCACACACACACACAAATATTCTAATTCAGTCCATCTGGAGTGGGTCCTGGAAATCTGTATTTGTAAATCCCTCCGGGTGATTCTGATAATAGGTCTGGTGTCAGGAAATATAATAAAAAGGATTCAAGCTTTGGATAAAGAGTTGAACTATACAATTTTTCAGGTCCTTTCCAACCCAGAGGTTCTGTGATTCTAACCAGCTTTGTCAAATAGCCCTTCATTTGTTCAGTTATACTTCACTTTCCCCCCAAGGAACATCCTCAGTGCTATTCCTCTTGAGGCAATTTTCCACCTGCTGGTGGTCATTCTTAAGTTGGCTATCTTTCCTATTTTGGATAAAAACCATCTTAACAACCATACTACAGCTAGCCTGAAAGAGAAGTTTGTCTAGTGACTCTAATGTTGATATTTATTTACATTCTATCTCATGAATGTTATAGTAGCTTCCCCCTCTGTGTGTGTGTGTGTGTGTGTTTATGGCTATAAATGAATTTCTGTCAACTTTTCTCCTTAGAATATTAATCCTTTCAAAAAATGCTATTATTGTTTTATATATTTATAAAATAACACATTTCATTGTAGGAAAGTGGGAAATTTTTGAAAGTGTAAAAAAGAAATAAAAATCATTTATAATCCTACCCCACCAAGAGTTCTTATTGCAAGGTTTTCTCATTTCACACTACATTTAGCATCTTAGAACTCTAGCTCAGAATAAGTGGGAGCTGGTACAAATATGATTTACTTTTAGACTGGGGTTAAATTTTTCAGTCTTTAATTCCTTGCTAGCCCCTTTTCTGAGTACAGTTCAGCTAGTAGAGCTGGTCTGGGTAAATCTCGTAACAGGTAACATCAGGGCATGACTTGACCCCTTACAAAAATGTTTCTCTATTGATGATTCTATTTAATCATCCCAATGAAATCAAGGTGGAAAGTATGAAAATTATTTCCATTCTCTTCTTTTTTTTTGAAGATGGTGAAGAAATTTTACTTAACAAAACACTCCTAGAGCATGCCAGATGCTGTTCTAAGCCCTTTACAATGAACTCATTTATTTTTTTTATTTTTTATTTTTTATTATGTTATGTTAATCACCATACATTACAGCATTAGTTTTTGATGTAGTGTTCCATGATTGTTTGCGTATAACACCCAGTGCTCCATTCAGTACGTGCCCTCTTTAATACCCATCACCGGGCTAACCCATCCCCCC